ATATATATATACATATACATATATACATATATATATACATATACATATATACATATATATATATACATATACATATATACATATATATATATAGATATACATATATACATATATATATACATATACATATATACATATACATATATACATATACATATATACATATACATATATACATATATATATATATATACATATACATATATACATATACATATATACATATACATATATATATATACATATACATATATACATATATATATATATATATATATATATATATATACCTATACATATATATATATATACCTATACATATATATATATATACATATATATATACATATACATATACATATACACATATACATATACACATATACATATATATATATATACATATACATATATACATATACATATATACATATATACATATACATATATATATATACATATATACATATACATATATATATATACATATATACATATACATATATACATATACATATACATATATATACATATACATATATATATACATATACATATACACATATACATATATATATACATATACATATATACATATATATATATATATATACCTTCTCACTGAGAGGCAACGGCTCTACTAACTGAGCCACCGTGCTTCCAAAATAAACCATTGAAGCCGTTTTATAAAAGCATAACATTAACTTTGCATTGTTTTATTTTGTAAAGAGTCTGTTGGTCCAATGAGAGAAAATGTTATAAACATGAAAGTAAACCTGGTCTGTTAAGTGACAAGGACTGATTTGTACTCAGGCACGCACTAGGAAACCAAAACTGTGTGACGAGTCTTAAATGTGTTCAGATGCAGAATGAAATGGTCTCTGTCATGATACTGAAGGCACACACACAGAATGATGCCCTTCCTTAGTTTGCCACTGTTATGATCTCTAAACACACAGACAGTCTTAATTTATATCACTCGTTCTACATGTGATTATTAAACCCAACTATACTCAGTAAACATCTTTCTCACCAATCATTTCCTTTTCATGGATAGACATTAAATTGCAACTCAAGTCAAAGAGATGAAAGCAGTTTGAGAGAGAGAGAGAAAGAGCAACTGTTAATGTAGGATACCTCATAGTAAACTTAGGGGTCACTGTTACTTGACTCTAGGAGCTGTGATGTGAAATAGGGGTGTGTCTTGCAGATGGAGGTTGTTAGTGCCTGGTTGAATCTTTTTCGAACCCAGCCAAAGAGGGTCTGACTGTGGTTAATCCCATTTGGGGACTCATTTACAAGAGAGACCTGAAATTTAGTAATCAGTAATCAAACATAGCAACATCTGAAATGTTGCTAACAGTTTGGGAACTGTCTCAGGTAAATGCATGTTTATTTGCACAAAATAAAATGGTACTGATGTTAATTACAACTATACAATGCCATTTTTCAGTTAGAACAAAAGCCCATGGTGATCTCAGTAAATGTGAGTTATTACAGAGTGATGAAATTTCTTTCAGCCGGGGACTTTATTCTCCTCAATACACCATGGTTCTTTGTTCTGAACCCTCCATAATTAAATCCAAAATTTTGTTGGGTTTTTGGAATCCTTTTAGCTTTGATTGATTGTACTGGTGGTATGAAACTTTCTGGCTTTATTTCATTTATATTTGATATGGACTCCAAGATTCAGAGCTAAGATTTTGTTAAAGACAGCTGGGTTGTAAAAACTCCCCTTTAACTCAGCTTTTCCACTCTGTTCTTTAACATTCTTCCCTCCACCATTCTTCTTTTCTTACCATCTTTTATTTTAACAAAAAATCCATCCTTTCATCTTCTATATTTTTGCTCTCAAGTTACACTATATATCAAAAATATCAAAATTAAAATAGACATCCTACTTTTTTTTTCCAATCTGCTCACCTGTAGTGTCTAAAAAGCTCTTCTTCCACTTCTGTGATAAAGTTGCACTTCGTACACGAGTACTGCCTCTCTCCCGCTCCTCTCGCTCTGTCCTTGTCTCCCCCACCTTCCTCCTCAGACTTGACCTGTGGGGCTGCCCCCTTTAGGTTGATCAGGGTATGACAGCCTTCATAGTGTTGCAGCAACACATCGATGTCAGTGGTAGCAAACGCGCACTGATCGCACAAGTGGGTGACGCCTAAAAAGGCAGGAAAAATTAAGACCAACGAAATTAGAACCTTGATTTAGACACATTGATTGCAGCCATGTTTAGGAGAGAAAAATAAATAAAAAAAGGAAATGGTATTCATTTTCAGCACAGTGACCCATGCCTTTAAATACCTTGTGTGACAACAGGATGTGCTGGGTTAGAGGGGTGAAAGGTTGAATTAGAAGTCACACCAGGGTCACCTCTTGGGTTAGGAGGGGTCGCACTCGGTGAGGTGGAGGTGGCGGGTTTGGAACTGATGGCATCCTGCTGTTTGGTGAGCTGAGGAAACTTTGAACAGCATTTAGGACAGGTAGACCTCCGACAAGCAAACGGGTGGGACACCTGTTGAAACAAATGAGCAGGGAGTTTAGTATGAGTACGATATAGTAGAGTTTAGATGTTTGGATGCTTTAGTTGTCGATGGAAATAGGGCTTGTATGTTATGTTTTAAAGCACATCAAATGTTGAAAGTTAGCAACTGGAATTAAAGTACTGTAAAGTTCTATGTGTTGTCATTATTGTTTGTTCCCATACTATGACAAAATTAGTTCTCTGCATTTAACCCATTACACCTGAGATACACCCAGGTGGAGCAGTGGATAGCTATGTAAGTGCCCGGGGAGCAATTGGGGATTAGGTGTCTTGCTCAGAGACACCCCGATATGTGGAAATATCGGAGAGTCGAACCGCGACTTTCTGGTCCCAAGTCGGCTGCCCTACCTCTACCCATCTTGGCCCCAATTAAAGTGTATTATTAAAAAACTGTAAAATTTTAATCATCCTTTTACAGTTTGCAGCTGCAAGTGTGTTGTTTGGCAGCCGGCATAAAGGTGGGCAGGGAGTGTACTTTGGTAGATTGGAAAAAGCAAGGGAATTTGAACAAAGAAGGAATGCAACGATTACCTTTACACTTGTTCGTATTTTACATTGTATTTCAACGTCCCAACTAATTGCCAAGAAAACACCAACAACAAAACATTAATTTTATCTTACCTCCCCCAGGTGTTTCTGTGGCTGGCAGAGGCCCTGAGGACAGTATGCGCAGTGTTGAATGCAGCAGCGATGGATGGAGTGATTGTGCTGGTAGTGCAGCAGCAATGGAGCCACAATGATCACATCCGCACTGTGCGCCATCGAGTAACGAAAATCGCACAGCTGGCAGTTATAGCTGGTCACAACGGCTTCAGAATCACTGCTGTTTGAGTCTCCTAGAAACCAATTACAGGGAAGTTTAATCAAACAATGTGCTTGCTACCACATGTTGCCACTAGCTGTTCCCTTTTTATTACCTTGGCTGGTGGTGAACGGGTTGGACAACTGGTCTTTACGTCCTTTGGATGCCATGTGATCGCCTCCATCTTTTCGTCCCCCTTTTTCCCTCTCTCTGTCCGTTCCAGCAAGAGTCAAGTTTTTGGGGCTTGTAGCGCCACCTGCGCCCACTCTGTGTCTTTGCTCATAGTGCTCTAAAAGTTTCACCGAACCCTCAGACCACTCGCAACTCCAGCTACAGAATTTACACCAATAATATCCTCCTACAGCTCCCCTTCTAGTTTCCCCTGCCCAGCCCGGTGAGTCTGAACACCCCCTGACTGGGATGAAGTACCCGACCAAAGAGTCATCCTCTGCTCGTATTGCCACTTGCTCGGCCCCATCTGAGATTTGACTTCTACCTTTTAACTGGTGGTCGTGCGTTGACAGGTTATTGACAGCCAGCAGCGGGGTGGTTGGTGGACTTTTGACTTTGTTGGGATGTGAGGACAAAAAATGCTGTTCAAGGTCCAAGGAATTACTGCCCATGTATGTAAAGTTGCAGAACTTGCAGCGGAAGTACTTAGTGTTTCCTTGGCAATCAGACGTTTTGCGGCCAATTCCTATTAGCGTGCCACCTAACGTCACCTGATAAAAAAAAAAAATAAAAAAAACAGAAAAGAGGACAAAAGCACAGTTTATATAATTTATTTTACTATAATTCACAAACACGGCTAAAAAATTAGTTAGAAAGCAGCATTAACTGGTGAGTTTTAAAAGCAAATCACATTTCCAGTAGCTGTTTTCACTTCATAAAAAATATTAAGGCATGCTACTTATGACAATGAACTTATGTCTTTACCTGGCAAAATAAAGAGACAAAAAATTATAACGTTTTTCATTTTTATTTAGGTACAAACTGTGTTAATTGAAGTTACCTCCATTTAAAAGGAACCTAGAGGAATTCAGTTTTAGTAAAAGGACATTAAAACCAAACAAACACGATGTTTGAACTATTTAAAAACTAACAGACCTCTCAAATGTTATTATACTTGTTAGTTGCAGTTTAATTTGGGTTTTGAGCATACTGTTAATGTAATTAGCAGAGCTAGACACTACAATAGACAAACTATATTTGCAGTTTCTACACAGAGTACAAGTTTTAAAATAACTTAATCAAAAACCAGCCATTAAAAAAAACTGTGACTTACCTTCATAAACTACAATGTACTTTATGAAATCGTTTTTCTTATGTAGACAATTTAATGTTACCCTGACTGTAACAGATGGATAGTATCTATTAGGCAGTACTATGGCACTCTGAATCTGAGGTACAGTTTTTACATTACTTACTGAGCAAACTGAGATGCACCTTTAGTTTTATTATTATTATGCTGAGCCCTTGACTAGCAGTCTAGTTTCCCCCATTTCCTTTGATCAATTGTTTTAAACATTTTATTATTTTTTTTATTTTTTGGCTGCACCTTTGTTTAGGGGTTGCCACAGTGAGTGAACTCGCATGAGGATTTGACAATAGTTTTATGCCGGATGCACTTCCTGATGCAACCACAGACCACCATGTGGAGTAGAGGACTACCATGTAAGGCGTCCGGGGCAGCAGATGTAGTTGCTTCACCTTTCCCACCCACATTTTTGATGTCACGATCAGTGAGGGGATTTGAACTGGTGAACTTCCAATCACAGATTCAATTCTCTCACCCCTGCACCACCACACCCCCATATTCTTTGACTGAAAATAAAAATAATTTCTGGATGTGAACAAAAAAATTGGATTTGAATTTCTGTTCGTAAAGTTTTTAAAGTGAAACAGATGATGACTAGGGTATTTTTAAGTACAATGCTAAGTGCTTCCCCTAGTTTACTTGCCTTGGCAGGGCGCTCATATTTTTTGTGGGTTTTGTCAATGGGGTGGGGGGGAGTTGTGCGCCGTTTGTACCGACAGTTTTCGAGCGGGGGGGTGGAGATGGTTTAGCATGAGGGAAACGTTGAGCTACTTATGTAGCTATTTAGCTAGCGCCTGTATTGTGCGCCGCTAACTTAGAGCTGTGTCAAGTCAGTCAAAAAAATATTAAGGGAATCTGGGAACCTGTGGATCAAACATGATCTCACAACAGCAATACTTTAGTGATCACATCCCACATTATCCTGCAGCCAGTTAGTAAAGACCCAAACTCAATTCATTTCTCTGAGCAGAACTGACAGAAAGACCGAAAGGCGAGCAGGAGATTGGAGAGAGAAATGGAAAAGGTAAAGGTCAAATAGGACAAGTTGAGGAAAAAAAGTGTATAAAATCAAAAACCAGAAAGACATGAGAGATGGATGAAAAGCAAATTGAGCAGTTTGAGAAAAACAGATTAAATAGTCAGAAAAGCAAAATAAAAGTCAAAAGAGAAAATGAGAAGACGAGACAAAGACGAGCGAAATATAAGAACAGAGGGAAAAAAGACTTCAATATGTTGGACAGCTGTTTCATTAGACTCCCTAACAGTCGATTATAACTGCAGCTTCCCTGTCTGCTTCTTTCAGTACCTTCTTCTGTTTCCTCCTTAATCTTTAATTCTGCTTCTTACGCTTCTCTTTTTTCATACAGCACTCTTCAAGCTTATTTTTAAGGATCCCATTGGTTGTCAGGGATTTGTGTCTTAGCAAATTACTGGCAGGAGAGAGAAAAATTGAGTGAGAGATGGAAAGAATAGAGATCGCTTTCATTCTCTTTTTTTCCTTTAAAGATATACACTTTCACTTTTCTTTATAATGACAATTAAAGCCCACTGGATTTTCCTGTTTCAAACTCTGCACGTCTGTGTGTCTACAAATACGCTTTGACGACTGTGCATGTGTGCAGCTTTTTTAAGACTACTTCCAGCCCTTACAGGCTGCTGGTTTAAACAAAAAGCAACTCCTTGACTACTCTTTGTGCTGTTAAATCATCATCATCCTTACTGAATTCTTCAAACAGAACTTTAGGATTTGTGTTCACAAAGATTCAACGTTATTACATTTGACTCAGATGTGTTCAAACCTGGAAAAGTCCTAATGTACAAAAACGCAATTAGGGGAATTAATAAATATGATTAAAGAAGTTAGTTAGCATACATCAAGAACTGAAATTTTACCTGAAGAGTAAAAATATGGTTATTCAACAGTCTTACTAATTAACTTGGGCTAAAAAAACAACAATTGTGCTGACTTGATATTGTGGTTGTAGAACTTGCATTTAGCTTTTGACAACCTTTACATTAAAGGTCAACCAAAATGGTTTGTTTATTAGAGAATTGATAATCAGCCTTTATAACTCAAACGCATCGCAATATACAATAATAACAAAAATAAATAAATATAAAAACTAAACTCTAACAAAGTTCTATCAGGTCATATGGACGGTTTCTTTTGTTGTTTTGTTGTTGAGACGTTTTGTCCTTCATCCAAAGGACTTCATCAGTCTGAGAAGCCACAACAAACTTAGTCCCACAAGCAGCACACTAACATAGAGGACCAACCAGTTTGATGGTGACAAGATGGTTTTTAGGATTGATGGATTTTTTTCCTGGATTATTGAGCATGAACGTTGATGTTTTAAACCACTTTGGCCATGGCTGCCTCAGAAGAGTCGACGGGGGAGAGGACGGACCCCAGAAACCATCTTATTACCAGCAAACTGGTTGGTCCACTGTATGAGTGTTTTGCTTGTGGGACCAAATTTGTTGTGGCTCCTCGGACTGATGAAGTCCTTTGGATGAAGGACGAAACATCTCAACGAAAAAAAGAAACTGTCCAGATGACCTGACTGAACTTTGTTGGATTTTTTTACCTGAATTATTGAGCATGAGCTTTGATAAAAATCTAAAAAGAAACATTTTGATTAAATGCTAACAAAATGGTTGAATAATACACAGTAGGAAAAGCAGAGAGATTAAAATCGTGTAAGCACCCATCCAAGTTGTTTATAAATTAAAGCCTTTAATGTTTTTACTGATAGATATGATATTGTTCAGCATTATATTCTGGTGAACTTCCTCTGGGGGTCTGCAGTGTTGAGCCCAAAAAAAAACACCATCACAAGAATCACTGATTGGCACAAAGGGGGGATTACAACACTGTGCTGCCCGCAGATGTGCCTGCCTGTTAATCAGTGCAGTATGCCAATGCAGATGTTTTCTTTTTTAATGACAATAATTGGTCTAATTAATCAACTGAGAGATCAAATGGTCTAACTCCTATTCGACAAAAATACACGGACTAACCCAGAACAAATGACTTGATATTAGAGCAAAAACATCTAAAGATGGAATATAATAGAGTTCTATAACACAAACTAAAGTAATAACTTAGAAAAGAAACATTTTACTTCATCTTAGACGCATGTAACAGGGATATGTAAAAACTCGTTTGCAAATTCAAAATCCAAAAACTCAAAAGCTTCTGCTAAACTGGACTCGGACTGTTAAAAGTATCATAGCAAGCTAACACAAGGCGTAATCCTTGTGATGAAAATGTCTCTTTTGTGGCAAATGTAGCAAACATTTTTGAAGTTTTTGTCTGATGCTTTTAATCTTTATTACTAGTTTGGAAAAGCAAAATCAGCGTTGCGTGGAAGTAACACGTTTTTCTTGTGACCAAGTCTACAGCTGTTGATTCAAACGGGGATGAATCCAACAAAAATCGACAGATTTAACACGTAAATGATTGACGTCTAGACTGCAAGTGAAAACTACAAACTTTTTTAAAGCATGCCTTTGTTAGCGTTTTTAAATGTAGATGAAAACACAACCTTCCTGTCATTATGCTACATTTTCTGAGAAATAAAGCACGTTTAAATATAAAAAAACCTGTTCCAGTAATGTATGTGTGAGGGGGGTTTGGGAAGCAGACATCATGCGTGTGCTCTGCATGTATACATATGTGAAGTCGGTCTGCCAGGTGCCCTGCTCGTCTGTTTCAATCCATCCGTCAGTCTGTTACATTTTATAACTCTCAGCACAATGCTCACTATTCAGAAAACACACTTTGAATGTAACAACTCAGCTGCAGCTTGCTCTCGCTCGTAACTTTTAGTGTTCCGCTATGAGTCGAACTTCACAAACTGAGCTGTAACAAAATCAATCAGCGTCTGAACGTCAGTTTTGATAATAACCAGATGTACCGGTAAGCATACTTTAAACAAATAGTTTGACTCGGTTTGACTTTTATAGATTATAAGATTATTGCTTATAAAACCAGTGTTATAACCTTAGATATATATATAATCTAGCCAAGATGTGCAACTTATACATTAAACTATAATTCCTAAAAAAAAATATAAAAAAAATCCTGCAAATAAACCTATTTTCTTGTGGCTACTTCTTGAGACTTGTGCATGTATATATGCATTTCCTTAATTAATTAATTGCTTGTTTGCCTGCAAGCTAACGCCTTTATTTTTATAGCTGCTGTCCGTCTATGCTGACTGGGTGATGTTCACCAAATATGCAAACGAGGTCCTCTTAATTGTATATATAACAAATAAGGGGACAGCAAATGTACGTAAGTTACTCTCACAGGACTGATGATTTTTATGAGCGTCAAACTGTACTTTAACTAAGAAGGCATCAGCACAATCAGAGCAGGCCTTTAAAAAACAAAAACATGTTAAGACTCAAAGTTTTTATGAACCAGTGGTTATTTGTCTTGCTTTTCAGAGCTAGATGTTAATAATTTAACTATCATATTTCTTTTCAAAGCAGCTTACACCTTACTCAGCTGTAGGTTTTGATTCCTATTTGCATGCACAGATGACTTTAGGTCCACACAGGCGTGTATTTCCATAGACGAATGGACAACAGATGGGAACAACGCGTCTTTACGTCCAGTGCTTACCTGTATGTCGTAAGTGCCGTTCATCATGACTGTCCTTTGCTGCGGCGTCTGAGCGTCGGCTCTCGTCTTCCCCAAGTCTTTGGTTTGACTTCGCTGTCCAGTCTGTAAGTCTAACATCAGAAACACAAAAAGAGGTTAAACTGGTGGAAACGCATCAAAGTAGCTCATGCAAAACAAGCTGAAGACAAGTGACGACAAGGTAGGAAATCTTTCTGATCTAAAACTCATAAATTGTTGTTTCAGGTAACCCAAAGCAAAGTGGTATAATGATTGTAGGGTAAAGGTATAATAGTGAAGAGCCTCATGAGTTTTCTTGTGAGTGATGAGATACGAAACTCAGCGTATAGGTTTATGTAGACTATAAAAACTATAAAGAAGTGTTTACATTTACTTAATTAAAAATGTAACAGATTACATTGAAAAACAGACTAAGGCCATCTGAATATGAATTATGTTATTTTTTTTAGTTCTCTACTAGGATGGGCTTTTTTTTTTATTATTATCTTCCCAAAACACTTTTTGAATTGGTCAGAAATATTTTATTTCAATTTTTTTTTAATATCTATCTACCACATCTACCCCAACCCCCTCTAAAGGTACACATTCACAGCTGCTAAGTCTGATGTCTGTGCGTCTTTACATACCTTCATTTTCAACATGTGGGGGTGTCCTGATTCTAATAGTACAGTTGAGCTCACCCATAACCATAGTTTCTACTTTATACTCATTTCAAAATAAAATACAAGGACAGCACATTTCTTGGAGGCTCTGAGTTGCTTTACTTATTTATTTATTTTTTACAGAGGGGGTGGGCAGAAGGTGTTGACCCAAAACACAGCACACCAACTGGAAAAGCACCGTTAGGAAACAATTTGGTGTAACGACCAGGGACTGATGTAAAAAAAAAAAAAAATTTTAATCTGACAGTCTGTTTTTTCTTTATTAGTGCATTTTACCAAGGCTGAATTAAAATAAAAAATAAAAAAAACACTTCTTGGTAGAAAGGTTCTGGGTTTGAACTAGGGGTTGAAATGACTAGTCGACTAATCAATTCTAGGGCATCTTGTGAGTTTTTAAACATCACGTCGACTAGTTGCAGTCAGTGATTGTGTCATGTGTCACGTGATGAGCACCGGGACGCTGGATACAAAACGGATTCTTCCAAGAATGGAAGGCGAGGAGCAGGTAAATGTCTTCTCAAATAGGTAGAAATTCATCAACAGTGTGGAAGTATTTCACTAAAGATGATGTTGCTTTTAGTTTTATTTTATTTAATCCATTAAATACAAATCTAAAAAATACAACAGGGGTGCGCTCCACCAGAGAATCCACCACTACGAACCACCGCCAGTGGTGGATAGTTTTTATTTTTATTTTATCCACTAAATAAAATAAATTTTTAAAAACAGGGGTACGCTCCACCGGAGAATCCACCACGGCCTGTGCACCAAACACCACCGCCGGTGGAGAACCCACCACCACGGTGGTGGATAGTTTTTATTTTTATATTATTTAATCCAGTAAATAAAATTGTTTAAAAAAAAGGGGGGTGCGCTCCACTGGAGAATCCACCACTACGAACCACAGCCGGTGGTGGATAGTTTTTCTCTTTATTTTATTTTATCCAGTAAATAAAACAAAACAAAAAACGGGTACGCTCCACTGGAGAATCCACCTCACACCATCACTGGTGGAGAATCTACCACCGCCACCACTGCTGCAGTGGTTTATTTTATTTAGTGGATTAAATAAAATAAAACCAACTTTTGCGGCTTAATAATAGTTTTGGTTTTCCTGTTACTTATTTGCAGTATGATAAATGGTAGGTACATAAATTTATGCTCTTGATGTTTTGTTGTTCTTTTTTTATAAATAATAAATTATGTTGTTCTGCAATTTTTTTTTAGCATCTTGAGTTCCTGTGACGTCATCAACTATTCGATGTTGACTCGACTATTATCATGTCAATGTCAAATTTAAAATATATATAGTTGTTCAACCCCTAGTTTGAACCAGCTGATGGGAAATAGGTCAGAAGCACACTTTACAAGGACAGTAGGAGTTACCTAAGTTTGTAAGTTGGGGGGCCATGTTATGGAGGGCCAGGATCTGTGTGTCAAGCGCCGCATCCTGCCGTGTGCGGTTATGCAGACCCAGGTGATACTTCCTAAAGTGCTTCACCAGGTCAGCAGGGTCGTTGCCGTAGTAACCGTAACCGCACACGTTGCACTTGAAGTCCTGGAGTTTCGGAGAGGGGCTGGATGATAGCGGAGGGGTGTCGTTTGCCGACTCCTCCCTTCCTTCCTGTCTGGGAAGAAGTTGGGGGGTCGAGGTGAGAGGAAGGGTGAGACAATCTGCCTCCCCTCTGTCACTATGGCTCCTTTCCCCCTCCTCTCCGTCGTCAGGCTCCAACTGGCTTTCAAGCCTCTTGGCCGACGTTGCTCCTACTTGTTTTGCCCTTACCCCTCCTGTCCTCCCCACTCGCTTCTCAGAGGAGGGGGAGGCGAACGAGGAGATGCACTCACTCTCTGCCTCCTCCTCCTCGTCCTTCTCCTCATCTCCTCGGATCCGTTCAGAGGATTCCGGTTCTGAGGGTCGGTTTATTCGATCGGCTTCTGCTCCCACTCTCTCCTCCTCCTCTCCTTCCTCTTCTTCTTCTCCCGTTGGGTTCTTCCCCTCTTCCTCCTCCTCCTCTTCACCTCCAACACTCCTGATAGGGGGATTCTTCTTCCTCACCATGTCTAAAACCATAAGACAGAAAAACCATGCTATTAAAAGTTCAGTTGTATAAACTAGGTTCAACCAGAAATGTGGAAAGAGCAAAAGTCTCCCAATGAGGAGCCTTAAAGGATAAACATTTTGTTTTATGTACATTGTGTAGACAGACTATTTTACTTTATAAACTTCTATGAAGGCTGAAATCTGTGATGATCCTCAACCACAAACCCCTTCAAAGCAAAAACAGACACAACAAATGAGAAACATGTCAGCTGTGAGATATTTTCCAGGGTTGTGTGTTCGTGTGTGTATGTGGAGATGGATCTCATACACATACATGATGTGAGATTTTTTTGGTTTAATCGTTATGGAAACCATCCGTGAGAATCTCCAGCACAAGACCACATCAAAACGAAAAACCATATCAGAGAACTGAGACGGCGAGGGCTCGGAGGGTGAGGCGCGCTGAGAGAGAGAGAGGGGGAGACACGGGAGGGCGACAGAAGCAGGGAGGCCAACATACAACCACATCAAGCCGAAACACCCCATATCAGAAAGATGGATGAACGAGGGTGCAGACGACAATTCATCCCCTTCAGCGATCCACATTTCTATTCCCTGCATGTCTTTCCAGTAGATCTTCGTTGGTTTTCAAGCTCGAAAACTCTTCCTTTCTCGCCTCACTCTCTCGGCTTGCCTCACCTCGAGTCTTTTGGTTTGCGCTCGTTTGTTTTTCTCTCGTTGTGTCTGCTTTTCTTTCTCTATACCCCATTTCACTTTCACTAGGTACAGTGGTCCCGCGATACGTCACAGTTCAGCATTCGTAGACTCACTCTGTCGTGGGTTTTCAACATCAGATTGTAAACGACACACAATTGTCTACTTTAATATTACTCAAGTGATTGGGACGGCACGGGACAAAAAGTTAACGGGAGCGGGAACCAACCAATAGGACAAAAAACAAAAACAAAAAAATGTCGGGCAGGAGCCTCCATTTTGTAGCTTGTAGTGGCAGCACACCGGCTCAGTGGTTAGCACTGTTGCCTCACAGCAAGAAGGTCCTGGGTTCAATCCACGGTTGGACCTGGGGTCTTTCTGTGTGGAGTTTGCATGTTCTTCTCGTGCTTGCGTGGGTTTTCTCCGGGTACTCCCGTTTCTTCCCACAGACCAAAAAACATGCATGTTAGGCTGCCTTCAGGTCTCCCTTGCAAAAGAGATCTGTGATCTCAATGGGATTTGCCTGGTTAAATAAAGGTTAATAAAAATAAAGGTTAATAATAATAATAATAATAATAATAATAATAATAGTTTTCTTTCAATAAGCCTACACCGTAACCCAAGTCAAAAGAACTACATGGCCCAGAAGCCAAAAGCGCTTCCGGCCGCTGCATTCTGCCGAAATTCAAAGAACAGCAATGGAGGGAGCAAACGCTAGCGGAGAAACAGATTCGGTAAAGATAGTTTTGCAACGCAAAGTCAAAAGTAACAATCTATCTATTCATATCACAGAACTGGCAGGAAAGTTGCAAATAATCCTGAAAATGGACTCATAGTATCTTCACTAGTGCGTACCCATGTACAATTTTGCAGTACTGAACAGTACATATATGTATGTTGTTAAAATTACGTAGGTTTAAGAGTTAACATTGCAAGAGTGTGGGAAGGGTTTAAAAAGCCTTAAAATATATATCAATACTAAAATAAAATAACATCCCTACTTCGTGGTTTTTCACCTATCGCAGTGGTGTCTGGAACGTAACCCCCACGATAATCAAGGGACTACTGTACTTATTTTTTCTATCTCTTAAGTTTTTCTTGTTCTTCTGCTTACAAATAGGAGAGGTAAGTTTGAAATGCATTTCAAAGCAGTTTCTTTATCCATATTAGTCCATCGTTTCATTATCTTTCACATGCAAGATTAATTGCTACAACAGTTTGAGCAATAGCTGTTCTTTTTGTTCTTGCCCTCCCTGGCTGGTTCCCCCCTCTCTGCCTCTTTCCTTAATCATTTTTAAAAACCAAACAACCTCTCATATGTTCCACGTTAAACAATAATCTTCCTTTTGTTCAAGAAGAAAACAACTGTGGTTGCGCTGCTCGCAACAGTCGTGACAGCGATTCTGCGTGTGCTCTTAGCGAGTGCTTGTGTTTTTATTCATGGTCATTCGCCACGAAAACATCGTCAACTCGTTGACCCCTGTGCTGCGTTCGTGTCCGTGAGTCTGGTCGTAAACTTACTCCAATAGACGCCAGAACTGATTTTTAGATCAATGCAATACAAGAGGGGGGAAAAGGCAAACGTGCGTTTTTGCGTAATGCATATTTGATGATCCATTTGGAGGAGATGGTGCGTGTGCAGCGATATGAGAGACAAATGCTTACTGTTATTTACTGATAGCAACCTGAAAACATTTTAAGCAGGAGACAATCAAACAAATTCAAGGATTCAAGGATTTTTGTCAATCACATCACATGTGGTACATGAGGTGGAACAAAACTATGTACATAGGAACTATATGCATAACTATCCGTATACTAACTGTACTATATACATACATGTCTTCTGAAGAGAAGAATGTAGCTGAGAAGCAGTTTTCAGATCAGACCGATTAAAAAGGACAACAAACCAAAAAATAAAGCTCCTTTGTAGGATTTTACAATTTTCTTTCCCTCTTTTTTTCCTTCCATACAACTATTAAAATAAAGCAATTTATGTCTGAAAGGGCCCACGCCTAGACCAGCCCTGGCACTCGCTTACTCTGTGTGTGTGTGTGTGTGTGTGTGTGTGACACAGGGAGTGAGTGCAGGCAGCAGAGGAAAATCTCATCTGATGTTCACCACACCCAGTCAGAAATCATCATTCACACACACACACACACAGTGGAAAACTACAGATTGCTGTGGTGAAGCAGCGAGGCTAAAATCCCGACCTTCGAGGCTCTGACAGACGGAGCTGTGTTTCAATCTGTCTCAAGTGCAGCCACGTCTTAGAAAGTTCATAAAAGCAATAATGACGGCAATAATTACATTTATGAATGATTTCAGTGGAGCGTGAAATCGATACAACAGGAAACTGGTAATAGTATTAGTGTTATACAATATTTATTTACAACAACTTCACTTTTTTTTTTTTTTTTGGAATACTTAGGGTGCGGCTGCATAAGAGCAAGAGGCTGAATGTTAAAAAAAATGGCACAATGCGATTTGCATCTGTGCTCCTCGATGTCAAAGTCCGGCTTTTCTCTGCTCCAGGCTGTGTACACAGGCTGGAACCATTACTATCAACTACAATTAGGTGTAACCCACTACGAGATGCTGCATAACAACTTCTGCTACTAGCTACAATTAGACCCTTTACACCGCAATAGCCTCAATACCACACTGAAGACAAATGTGACAGTTAATCATTTCCATCAGCTGCAATTACATCCAACACTTGGGGAGGCTTTTATCTGAAATTGCCAATAATCTTCTCAGGACAGCTGCATGAAGGTCCAGCAACAGGAGAATTGTAGGAATCAGAACAATACTGTAAAGATAGTGAATTAGGGAACCTCGTTGGAGATGGAACAAAACTGTTTCATCAAATAGACAATTTTAAGAGTTTATTGTGTTGAGTTGGTGTTAAACAAAATGGTTTGACTCTTAAAAGTTAGGAATGTTTTTCAAAAAAGACTAAGAGATACTAAATTTTTTTTATTTTTTTTAGCAACTCAGATTGCCAACAATTATTTTTAGTTACTAAAATTTTGAATAACTTTACAAGTGAGGAGTTTACACCAGTAAATATTTGATGTCAGTCGTTTTGAACCAGTTTGGGTTTAAGAGGTGCAGATTCTGCTTTAAACTTCAGACGTTATTTATGCTGCTTCACTCGCTCGACCCTCTGCTGAACTGTGAGGATTGTGTGAAGCGAACTTGGTCATCTCTATGTGCCAGGGTCACACGCAACAATAAACCCAGACTTAAAAGGTAGTAGTAAAAACAAGTTTGTAGTCATAAAAAAACACTTGTTTTTAGTAAATACTGCATGAGGAGATGTGTGATTATCAAAATGTATACAGCTTATCACCCTGAGTCCAAAAGAACAAAATCTGAGGTGAGAAATCACTCAAAACTTTATTTTCCTCCTTTTCTTTTAAAAGCAGACAGTTCACAAATAAACAGATTATTTTACCACCTAACAGGCTGAGATGTAACAAAGTTGAACTCTTAGTGCATCTGAGCCAGGAATAAAATGTACAACAACTTGTGCGCACACACAAAGTTACTGAAACCCTTGACTTGGTAAAATGTAAACAGAGTGAAAGCTACACAGAGACATCCTATAATGTGGTGAACAGTGTTCCTCTACTCCCACAGCGTATATGTAAGCCGCTACAGCATCTAGTTACCTTCATATGTCTCTCCAGTAGGGCTGAACAATTAACTGCATTGGCGATAATATCACAATATGATAAAACGAGATTTTCTAATCGCGAAGGCAGCAATTTGACTGGTCGCGTGATCTGATTACGTGACTTGCGTGTGAGCGGAGCAAAGCAGAGCAGGGAGTGAGAGAAGTCAACACTGTGCTTGAACCGGTTGCGCAATGGCGTCAGGCTTGGCTTTGGCTATAAAAAATAAGACGTTGAACAACAACATGTATTGTGCAGAACTGCCTTGCTGTTGTTGCTACCTCTAGAAGTGAGACCACAAATCTTTATCAACACTTAAAAAACACCACAAAGCCATTTACGATGGTTGCATGGCTAGAACGCCAACGACCACTTGCAGCCGACAGGGATCACTGACCGAACTGTTTGAAAGTATTACTACGTATTAACATCATTTGAAACGACACGTGGAAATAACTCGAGCAATAACGGAGTTCATAGCAAAAGACATGATGCCCATTAATATAAGCCTGGGTTTACGGCTTTGGTAAACACGATGGATAAGCGGTACAGAATGCCCTCGCTCACACATTTTAGTCAAGTTGCTAACACGGAGTTACACAAAAAATACAGAGACAGAGTTGCAG